CCCCAAAACCCCAAAACCCCAAAACCCCATAAGAAATCAAGAGAATTGTCATCATTAATATAAATAACATGGATAACCTCCAAAACTGAGAAGAAAATATACATGAAGATATTCTTGACGAGGGTGTTGAAAGATCAGTCTTGATAAATTCCCTCCATCTTGAGACTAAGCTGTCACAGACTCCGTTCGATCCTCAGCCTAGGATCAATCTACTTAGGAAGACATTCTCCGGATCTGGAGTTAGACAAGGCAGAGAGCTGTGTGCAAGAATTTTTGGATCTTCTTGAGATGCCAAAGTTGCACTTCTTAAGAAAGTGTCTGCAAGGACTCAGCCTTCAACCAAAAATATTCATAATGATGTCAGAGAATTGCTACAGAAGGCCATTAAGTTAAGGAATTCAGAAAGCGTTGAGGTAGAGCTCGATGTAAGCCCAAAGTTTGGAAGTAATCAATGCTCTGATTCCTTCAAACAAATGAGCAAGGAAGTGACCGTAGGAGACCTTCTCGGTCCTTTCTGATAATTAATTAGTATATTAACAATTCTCCTTACCTTGCTCTCTTTTGGTGTAGCATCATGTCTTAATAAATCTAGAACAAGTTAAGTCATACTGGTTAAAACAAGAATACATTTTTCAGGAAAATAGATATTTCAGAACTATAATTTCCATAGTTTTTATGCAGCTTTGTTTAATTTCTACACAGAATAAGTAATAATATAATTTTGAATTCTCTCCTTAAATTTTAAGTCGGGATATCCGAGTAAATGCTATTATAAATTATTATTTTTATTCCATGCAAGCTTCTGATTGAAATTCAGTCTTCGAGATAATATTTGAAGGCCTATTTTAAAGATCATTCCAATCATTAAATTGAACTATAAGTTATTAATAATATTCTCTCTCTTTCCATTTTCTGTATTTTGGATAAAAAATTTCTAGCTAAGAAAATTTTCTTAATTTTTATTTGTATATTTTCTATCGTAAGAAAAGAGGCTTACATTCAAATTGTGCTACAAAAATTAATTGCTAGTACCTTTTCATGGGAGATAGATAAAATTCCCTGAAATTTGATATCTTGCCATGTGTTAATTCCAATAATTCTTTTAACACTCTTAAATATTGTTTAAGACGTAAAAAATTAAGAACCAATTTTTAGGAAAATTCTTTAGAAGCAATTATTATTCATAGAGGTTATATTTTTGACACAAATCAGAGATCCTTCCTATTTCAAGTGATGATGTCTGGTATTCATAATTTTAGTGTATTATCAGCTTTTTGGATACTATACGAGTCATAAGTTTTAATGCCAAATTTAAATCCTTATGGTTAAAATTTATACGAATAATTCTAAAATTTCACCGAGAAATGTTATTCTTCTACTTCAGTAAAATTTATTCAGGCAAGAAGTCCTCACTTGGTGATGCTGTCAAAGAGATTTTTGGTTCACAGAACTGAGCTTCAGAACTTATAAAACGAATCTTAGTAAATTTTAATGAAGGTAAAATCGGTTTCAATTTTGATATGATATTTAGGGGTTTTGGGGTTTTGGGGTTTTGGGGTTTTGGGG